AATCACGCCATCTGGCGGAAAATCACCCTGCTTTTTCAAATCACGCGACTTTTTCCAATCACGCGAGAATGTGTACAAAACAACAAAAATGGCGCTGGCAACCCTCCTGGGTCGTTTTCATCGATGTTGGTGATTTTAAAGTAATTTTGAATGATAAATATTTTTTTTTGCGATCATTGCACTTGCCCGGTGGGCAAATGCAATGAAATTTGTACTCTCCCGACAATAAAAACTACTTGCCCCGGGCGATCAGGCAATGGTTAACATCGAGCCTTGATTTATGTATAGGTTCATAACCTTCACCCATAGCAATGGACCCCGTTGCTGAACCCGTTGCTGTTCTCTTTAGGGTCTGGTTTACCTTTCATTTTTCAATCATATAGCACTATGCTGGGTTTACGCGCTGCTATTTGTCTGGTGTACTTATTGCTTATGTCTTTCATTTGAACAGTGCTTTTAGGTTAAACATTGAGAATCGATTTAGTGACGAGCTGTTCATTTGGGAGGCAACTTATTATGCAAATGACCCACTCTATCCTTACGTGTCACCTGCAAACACTTTTCTATAAATGCCCTATATGTCTGCTTGTGTTTGCTTTGCATGCTACATTTCTAGTGATCATTTAAAGCTGAAAAATGCCAATAGAGCCAAATCAATCATTGCAATGTGCAATAGAGACTCATGCACAATTAAAAAAGAGTTTTAAATCGTTCAGGGTTGAGGGACAGATCTAATTTTAGCAATGACTCTACTGGTTGGGTTATGAGTGAAAGACACAAACAAGAAGATCATTATCTGCAGAAGTAAAGAGGAGACACTGAGGTTCCTAATCCAGATATCCGCCTCTTCCAAACCTCTTTTCCATCGGCCCAAAAAATGAAAAATCATCTTTTAGTGGCAGTGGGAACAACGCACTGACCCATGTCGACCTGGGTCAAACGACTCAGCAAGTGTTATCGCCCTCTGAATTAGGTGATACCATTTTAGCGCAATTTACGGAGGTCAAAACACCGCGCTAGTCCGGTCTGATCTTACAAGCAACTCTTTTTATATAGGATCAGCATGGCGCATCACTGATAAGAGGGATTTGGACAGATAAAAGAGCAATTTAATAAAGCACACTTACTTCACCCTGGCCTCCTTACATGTTGCTCTCCATCGTTAAATTTTCGGATTTCTGTCGCACTGGTGACATCATCAACACTAACCCAGTGTGATGGTGTCACCAGACATGGAGCCGTGGGTAGCCAAATGGCGATTGTTACCAGGTAAATCAATCTGTAAAAAAACCCCACATTAATCCGCTATGTTCAGAGGGAAATAGGCTCTTGACTTCATCTTGATTTTCTATCCTTGAACACCAAAAGCAAGATCGGTAACAATCAAATGAATTATCAGGCTTTTACAAAACTAGCTGACATGCTACAGAGGTAATTAATCTATTTGATGCAGGCGTAGCGGAGCAGGGATTGATCCAAAAGTCATAGATCCCTACCTTAGACATTAGAGGTGCTCAATCCAGTCCCTTCATCAGACTTTTCCAAAGCAACCTGAAGACAATACCTAACATATGCAAAAAGAACCACATCGTCTGCAAAAAGCGGGTACTGGAGGTTCCTAAACAGAGTTCAACTGAGATAACTCTGACACTTCTCAACAGAAACATTGCGCATTAGAAGATGATTTCATCTAGTCTGTATAAACCTTCATTCCTAAGATTCCAGAAGGGAAATCTATCTTTTTGCAAACGTTTCTCCACACCTTTGTTTCTGCTAATCAATTAAAATTACACAATGCATTTAGCATAGCCCATTTCAAATTGTGACAGATCTTAAAATCTATCACCACAGAAGCACAAAGCGTTCTCTCTGTGCAGAACAGAAGCAGCAGTTTGACATTGTGAAGCTGAGCAGCGTATGATATGAGGAGTGACCCCAGAGCGTGGAGGGTAAACGGAGAGAATCCCTGAGAGAGGTGTGGAGGTGCGGGGGGTCACGCTTGTTCTCTCTGGCACTCTTTTTAGAGTTCAGACAAGTCCCATGATGATAGGAGATTAATGAAGCTGCTCTGGGTACTGTGATCCCTACAGGACACTTTCACAGGCATACAAGGACTATTCATTCTCGACTATCACAGCTTTTCATCTCCCTCAAACCATTTGTAACAGTCTTCTGATGTAAATTTTACATCCCAGTTGGGGTTTTTTTTGTTTTTGGTATTGCCATACCACCATAAATACGGTGATACAGTTTCATGTATTTGTCCCTATCGACATCCTAGGCGATAATTCACAGCGTCATATCCGTGTCTTTTAGCAATACGAGTATGGTGATGATATAAGCAAGCTGCACCACATCTCAGAGTCAGGAGGATGTCGCATTAACACATGGACTTATCTCTTGCCTGCAGTTAGGTCATCCTGTTTTATGGAACAACACTGCCCTCGTGTGGATGATCACATACACTACAACCCTGCCTAATAGTCCAATGTGCATTTGAATCAATTGGCCCATCAATATAGAGGAAAGTAGTCTTTTAAAATGCACTTTGTTTCTATTATTTATTTTTTCCTCTGTTTTATGAGCATCCCCATGTTTATTTTATTTATTTTTTGCCCATATTTACTGAGTTAAATGCAGAAGTATTTGTATAAGTAGTTCTGGTGGCCCTTTTATGGCGTCTGTACTGAAGAAAATCAATGTCTTATATATGTTACGGCAAAAAACAAACAAAAAAAAAAAAACACTGCTCCTTAGATTCATTTCTTTTGTTACATTTAGTTTGAAAAGCTTAATTGGCCATCCGTATTTATCAACATCTGCTAGGTCAGCCGTTACCTATGCATGCTGGCTTTTTTCACATGTTTGCAAAAAGCAGCTTTTTGTCCATAATAATGTCTGGAACCAGATTCACTCAGCCTGAAAGGTTGTCTCTTTTACAAATACAGTGTCTGTGTTTTTATTTTGCAGAGACACCCTAACTCCTAAGCTTGGCCTGTCCTGTCCACATCTGATTTCTAAAGGACTGTTTATGTTGCAGGTATAAGAACTAGGTATGACTGAATTCTCTGCTGCTCTTGTTGTAATATTAATGATTAAACTGCCGCTAAAATTATTTTCACCAATTTTCTTTAAACTAATTTGAGGTACAGTTCCTATTTTATGTACATATATTTACAGTTTCCTTTAACAATGTTTTAAAACTAAAGGTGTCCGCCATGATGAGATAGGATCACAGCTTTCATCTTCACGGGTCTAAAATCTACAGTTCGAGTCCCGTAGGTTGCTCCCTAGGTCTATGGGTTACTCAATATGATAACGAATGAACTATAAGGTTGTTTTTTTTCCCTTTTTTTTGTTCCCCCATAGAAAAAAAACAGGCCAAATCTTGATAATTCTGGTCAAGAACTGACAATTTCTCTTACTAGGTATGAATCTTACTGTTACTAAAAGAAAGTTTAATAGGAAGTTTTAATTTCCAATATTACAATTTTGTTTGTTTTGTTTTTTTTAGTCCAGGTAAGATTCATACGGACTAAAATCTGACTTCATTTTGTTTCGTTTTTTATAGTTTTTAATGGCATTGGTGGCTCATTTTTTGTAAAGTGGGCTTAAAAAGTAAAAGCAGTTCAGGACTAAAACTATGACCAAAATAATCGGACTGGAAAAAAGTGATGTATTAACCTAAATTTGAACTAAAATTATTTATGTTTTCATCAAAAAACAGGATTTATACAATATTCCTAATGTGCAGTTGACCATCTTTTAGTGCCTGTTTTGACTACCTTTACATTATCACTACCCATACAAAATCAAATACCGGTATGTCTTAACTCCTTGTCTAAGACCTCCTTTAAATGTTAATACCCATGTTACCTTAGCAAAAATATTAAATGTCCTTAATTGGAATTTTCTATTCAACTTAAGTCTGAGTAAATAAATGGGTTAGGGCAATCGGTTTCCTCCAAAAAATTTCAGCTCAACTTATTTTGAAGTGATCCAAAGTAGTAAAAACCTACATTTTCAGATGGTGAGGTGCAAAATGATTAGTTTCAACATCAAGGTAAGCTCGGTTCCCGCCTTATACGGTAGTTATAATTTTTGTAAAGATTTTATAGATAATCAACCTAAAACTGAAAATTCAACATAATTTAAACTCAGAATATATTGAAGGAGTGACAAATTTTTTCTAGCTATTCAAATTTTTTTTTTTTTTACCTTTTTCTACCATTACTTGGCCTTGATTTAAGTCTACTTCTTACCACCCTGTATAAACCCAGAAAAGAAAAACAGACAAACTCTTATTTCAATGTAAAAAAAAAAAAAAAAAAAAAAAATTGGTCAAAATTGACACTGTTTAAAAACCCCATTTAAGTTGGACATCTCTGTATTATGTCTGGGATGAAAAAATTAACATGTTACACGTTGAATATCTCAGTAATGGCCTGTCATCCCCATTCCATGGTTTTATTGATGGGAGCAGCATTTCCCTTTTATTTATAAATTACTTCTAACCTCTACATAGCTTTCTACCAATAAATCAAATGTGGCAAACCTTCAGATTCGTCATACTTTCCAATAATTCCTATAAATATTCCCAATTAATTGTTCTGGATCTTCTTTCAGTGACCTCATCTATGAATAAAACAAAATAAACCACATGAACGCACTTTTACCATCTAACTTGAAACAGCAAGTGAAATTTATTGGAATTAAATAAAGTCTGGTACATTTCACAGCTATAGGAGCCTACACAGTAAGCAAAACGTCTCGTCATCCGTGTGCGGAGCTACGCCACAGGGTAGCTCCTGACAGTTCTTGTTGTGTAAATACTGCAGGGAGCAAGATGGCAGCAGCTGGATATTGCTCCCCCAAAAACATAAAAACAAAAAGGAGATACAAAGAAACTTGTGCAACTTCAAAAAGCATTTTATACTGTTTTCCTCCAATATGTCACCAAATCTTCATGCTTTCAAAGGAAAATCACTTAAGTTTTTTTCTTTTTTTTTAATTAACACAAAGACAGGATTAATAATGTTATAGTGTTGTATATTTAGAATCTAAAATTGACGTTTAATCTCTTGACGATGTTTGTCTTCTCTTAAATTCCTTTCGGAGTTGTTTCAGTTCATTTAATAAGATAAAAGATGCTTTCTTTGTGGTTCAAGATAGCACTGCGTGTGAGTTCTTGATGCCAACCATGTTTTCTGCACTCATGGACCTCCTCATGGCAGATTTGCTCAAGTCCTTGTATTTGTCCTCACATAATCTGGATATAGCCTGAAAAAGATGAAGAAACAAAAATTTGGAGTCCCGAGAACAAAACCAGGTGGAACGCCTCCAAAAAACAAAGACAAAAAAAACATTACTCACCTCCAGTTTTTGGGCTCGCTTGTTGCTAAGTGGCTCCAGAGGGAAACTGAGATTGTTGTCATCTGCCAGAGAGCGCAGGTCGAAGTAATACTTGGCATAGACACTGGCCGGGACGTTGATGTTAAACTGAAGAAGCTCCAAGAAGTGCCGCTCCATCTCATTCCTGGTTAACCAAATGATTTCATCAGCTATATGTTTCGAGCCACATGGACAGGGGCTAAGCAGGTTGAGGACCTCTGTTTGGAAATCCCGGACAAGCCCCCACTTGTTACAAACCACATCCTCTCACTCTGGCTTGATTTTCTTTCTCGTCTTTGTGAGAGGATAATGTAGGAGCCATTTATCCTTTGGTGTTTGTCGCCACCAGGGGGCGTATTTAATTTTGAGTTCTGAGTGTCTGATGGGGGGATGGGTTATTTAAGGTCAACCATCAATTCTGTTCAGGTGTTGTTAATAGGCTGAGGCAAACAGTTTTCTACTGTGCTTGGTTTGGATGTATGTCGAATTTATGTGGATCTTACGGCAAACAGTAAGACAACGGACATTGTACTGAAAATAAATGACTTTATTTTATGTCAAACGGAAGATCGGCATGCTGAATCTTAATTGATCGCACGTAAAACCAATGCCTTTCAACAACAACCACCAATAGCCTAAATTATAGGATTTCAGTCACTACAGATAACGGCCGCAACAATAAATGGCACACCTGTGGGGTGATTTTGTCTTTGTGACAAGCGAGGCCGGGCATGTAGGAGGCTGCCGCAGCAGATGTTTGGGTTTAGAAAAAAAATAATTGAAAGGATAGTTTGGGAAGGGTCTGGAAAGGGAAAGAGAACCTTCACCCAGGGGGAGCGTCTGAGGTTTTGGCTGGGAGGAAGTGTGTTTTCGTGTTGTTGGACTTGTTTGTAAAAACTGGCTGAAGGCTAATGAAGAAAAGCACCAGAAGAGTTACACGTAAGCTAAGAAGAAATCAGTAACGGATTCATGAGTGGTGGGTTTTGAGGAAAAGAAGAAAACTATTAAACGGAGTATCTGATGGAGAAGGGATTGCGAGGGCTCATTCTTCCTCAGTGGATGTCAGCTGGTTGAGGAACTCTGATTGGAAATCTAAGGTAAGCCCCCATCACACAGTGTGTTCTAGGGGTGGAACGGTTCACAAAATCCAGTTAGCTTCAGTTTATGGTTTCGTGGTCACGGTTTTCGGTTCGGCATATGTTTATTGTTAGCCTGACGTAGTCCTACTCAATTCTAGTCAGAATATGAGTCTGATACTGCTCCATAGAGCTGTGATTATGGGGCGTGTTTTGAACGAACCAGGGAAAAAATGCCTCTGCACTCAATTGGATAGACCTACAACCAAAAAGAGCAACGGAGTGCATGACGTATGTTAAGTGACGCATAGTTGTTGTCAACAAAAATCAAAGCGTGCAGTTGCACGCCTAGTATAAGAAGATGAGCCTTGATCGCGTTTCTCTGTTCCTCTTTTAAAATTAATTTGCTGTCGAACGTGGTTGATTACGTTACTGTTGATCATCTGTCCATCATCGTATAAAGCCCGCCCTGACAATTTGATTGGCCCGCCAGATATTGTGCGAGCATACTCGCGCTACTACTGAGCAATGCCAGACCGAACTTCCCGACCTCAAACGTTGTGGGCGGGACTAAGTTCGGAATGGCACCCAGACTAGTTTATTGTTACACCGAAAAATAAAATATTTTTTTAAAATTATAAAAAATTAATGAAAAAATAAAAATGTATGAAATTAATGAAAAAATCCCCAAAAATTAATGAATTGTAATTATTTTTAATGATCCGCGGAAACCCTGGATCATTTCCGCATGTTTTGCTGCTTTGAATTTAATCATCTCGCGCATGCTCTCTACCATCTCCAATGAACTCAGAGGGGAGCGGACAGGAGCAACAGTGGGGGCTGTAGGCTTTGCTTTGTGCAGGCAGTCTGGAGGGCAGCGGGGCGCTGATGGAGTATGAGGGATTTTGGGGTTAGCCTGACATGTTGGTCATGTTGCTGTCAGCATAACCAAAACATGGTGCACAATGCTTGCACACTGTTGCACTTTTATCCACAACTTTCTTTCCGCCGTATAAAGTGCTGCTGGCGCGTCTTCCAACTCCTGTTCTTTCCCACTCGCCATACCCACACAATTCTCCACAACAACTGATTTTTTTCTGCTACACCCGGCTACGCTGCTTCGCTTCTTCTTCTTGTTTACTACTGGTGGTTGGCTTTGGTTGCAGTACCGCCACCTTCTGCTCTGGAGTGTAAACGCTTCGCCTATGAGAAAAAGGAGCAGCGCATGAACCGAACCGAGACAGTCGAACCGAACGGTTCGGACGGTTTTCATAAACCGTTCCATCCCTAGTGTGTTCCGTCAGGTGCCCGTTTTCTTATTTGTTTTCTTTTCACAGTTTTCCTTTAGTCCACATTTGTACCATTTATTGTTGCGCCCCTTATCCTCTCTCTTCTCTTCTTTTCTTCCCAACGAGAAGAAAGAGAAACGAGCCAGGGTGAGAGGTAGTGGTTCATAACATTAACAAATAAAAAAATATCCTTCAAAACAAAAGATGCAAGAAGAGTAGCACTCACATGTCCTCCACTGTGATGTCTTTTAGGATCTGGCAATAATCGACATTCCACACGGCCTGGTCATCCCAAACTTTGGAGGCCAGCAGAATGGCACCGAGGACGATGCGCTTCCAGTTGGAGGGGCAAATGTCAATCTCTGCGTATGTCAAAAGTCTTTCCAGGTAAACCTAAAAGGAGACAGCCATAGGTTTAAACAAAGCTGCCGCGCATTTTTCAAAAGCAAATCCAGGCTAAAGTTCTTAGTCTTTATTAAACTTTTAAAGACGAGTTTTAGCTTGACTATGTAGTTTAAAAGAAAAATATAATTATGGATCTGTACACATCCTAGAGAAAATAGCAAAAATAATAAAAAAAAGTAAATACTTTTTCGTTACTTATCCAAATGGAAAGGTTACTTTGCCAGATTTACATTCTAGGTGTATAATTTTTATAGTGATGCTGCTATAGGTTTAGACTGCTGGAGGACATAGGGAACACTTTTTCTCTCTGCTCCAGTATATCTCTCTTCTCTTAATTAAACAGGATGCTTTTTCTTATCATAGCAGCTTCATCCAGTCTGAATCTGTTTGGCAGTAACACGATAATGGGGAGAAACATCAGCTGGGTTGCTGCCATCACCACCTTCAATTATAGATAAGAGTTTAGCCTTTTTAATTCAGTATTTTCTCCCGTTTCTGCCCTACACATGGCTTTAATTTTTGATTGGTTCTCCTAGGTGTTACTTCCTGATGAAAAGGAGGAATTGCTGTAAAGCATATAGCTAGACGAGCAAATATCTACATGCTCATCCAGGTGGAACGAATCCTGCAAAGTCATCGATTCAATCTGCTGGATTTTAACCAATCTGACTGGATGATCTGATTATCTCTGTAAACTGCTTTGGATGGAAGTGTTGTAAATTGAAGCTATAGAGCTAAATTGAACTGAATAAGCAAAAAGACAACATGTTTTTACCAGAGTGACGATGGCGCACTCTGCCGTGAGCTGCGCAGAGCTGAAGAGCGTCCTGATGAAGCGGTAGATCAGTTTGTGTTCAGGATCAACCACTGAATAGTCATCAGGGACTTTTTCTCTCTTTTGAAAGGAGAAAGACTAATTTTTACTTCGATACCACAAAAAAATTAATAAAATTGAATGACTGGACGTTTGATTCAAGACTCACAGACAGAGGGTGCTTCTTCTCATCGAATATATCCAACGAACGGTTGGAATCTCTGCAGAAACATATGAGAATTTTTTCTTTCATTTCATTATTGCATGATAGATACTGTACTAATCAGTGGGTCCAAATGAATGGGATGGGGGGAGAAGCAAGTTGGGATACATAACTCTTCTTTGTGGATGTTTGGACTAATTGAAGTTCTGATGAAGGGACTGGGGAAAATTTCCAGTTTAAAACAAAAAAAATAAACACTACAACCAGGATGTGGTGACACATGGATCAAGGGTTTCAAGTTCTACAAAGAAAGTAGAGGTTTAGTCTTCGGGACTAAAGACTTTTTATATATACAGTTGATTATGATGAAATAAGGCTATATATTCCAAAAATCCATTCTTACAGTGTTTTGATAGTCCTTTTTGAGCCTAAATAGACCATAAGCACCGGTAACCACAGCCGACATAAACAGATGTAGCCATCTGCTAGCAATACCGCTAAACGAGCAGAAATCCAGACTGCTGATTAAAAAAAATTAGTCCCGACCGAGCCGTAATGCTTCGTTAAAACCGACAGCTCTGTCGATACGGCTTAAAGCATTGCTAACACCATTAGCAACACTAGCAAGCACATGTGGTCAATGTTTTATCAACTTCTCAGCGACATCAGAATACTCAGTGATGTATTCCTGGTCACATCATATTGTTATAGTAAATAAACACAGATTGGCTAGATTTATAAACAAACTGCGCAGAAACAAAGCTTAAAATAAAAAAAATAAAATACTATGTCATCAGCATGCCGAAATCTTTAAAAAAACTTTGTATGTAACGAGAGTAAGTTAGTGGCGTATAAATTGAAAAAATGTAAAATAACCTAATAAGCTGGAGACTATCGACTTCAAACAAGGTGTTGGGATCGAACAAAAAATAAATAGACACACTTTTTTTTTATTCAAACAACAGTCTAATGTTTACCTACCTGTTTTTGATGTGATAGTATATGGCCAAAGCAACACTGGAACAGACACAAAGTTAATAAACAACCTGATTACAAAGAAAAAAAGCTTTTATCACATCTTTACTAAATGGTCAATTTTAAGATGACTAGTGGAGATGGGGAGTCTTACCATCTGATGGTGCTCTTAAGGTTTGGTTGGCTGACTGTGCTATCGTCGATAAAAATTGTCGAGCAGGAGCTGTACTTTTTATTCAGGAGCCCCGGGGACGTCTGGAAGATTAACATCAGTATTAAAAGAAAGTTTTTTCACAATTCTTTCAACCAAAATACTTGTTAAAGCAAAGTTATGTTGCTCTTCAGATCAAAATTCCCCATAAAGTCATACCTTATGCAGATGATACTGTACTTCAATGCCAATTTTGGTCGGATATTTGAAATCAATTGGGAAAAAAAAGGACAAAAATAAACCAAAAACTTCAAAACCTTTTGTGGTCGAAAGAAAATTTAGTAGCTCTGAACTAACAAGATTAAAAGCTTTTTCTGCAACGCAAATTACGTACATAGGTATTGAAAAGGGACTGTCTAATCACAGATAAGACTTGATAAAACCGTAGGCAAACACAGGCAACACATGCAGACATGAGCTATGGAAAATGTGGGTTTTTCAACAGCGAGTAGAAATAGAGAGAAAACATGTTTATATTTTGAATTGCGAATCAACATTGAAGAAAATCTCAAGGATGCTAAAAACCTTGGGAGGGTCGGGGTGTTCGATGATAGCATTTTTTAGTCTAGAGCAGATCTATATAAAGAGTAGTACTTAACCGATTTTTGTGTTTTTTCTTAATTTTGTTAACACTACATGTCAGTACCAAACAACAGTAACGACTATTTTGCAAATCGATTAACTAATTAATCGTTGTACTCATCTACAGCTCAAACTGTGCCACAAAACCGCAGGATTTAAAAGTTCAAAGCTCATAACGTCCTTTTTGGACAGTATGGCCTGATGCTCTGAAGTTATCTGACTGCTCACACCTAGGGGTGTAAATAATAATCGTTTTGTATCAATGCATCGACACGCCTGCAAAAGTATAGATTTTTTATTTATTTTTATCCATTTGCTCCTGGACATAATCCTGACTCCCGTGCTGCGGTGGCGCTAAACCTATTTTGCCCTCCTATCTGGCTTCCTTTAGCCACTACCCTCTTTCCACATGCACACACACAGTCGCGTAAACAGTAGGCAAGACAGACATGGCGGAGGAAAATGAAGATGGTGTATTCTTGAGTAACGAAATAATCGAATTGTTGTGTCAGGAAATCGATACTGAATTGAATCACCATGATGGGTGTGATTTACACCCTTATTTACACCGTATGTCAAAAAACCCACACCTTGGACTTAAAGAGATGGAGCTGGTCGGATCCTCTAACCAGATATATAGTTACCAAAAGAAGGATTCCCTTGTTTGCACATGCGGCGCAAGGTAGAGATAAATCGTCTCTTAGTTCTGCTTCTAAAGCAGGATAAGCTATTACCTCACAGAGGCCTTCAAACATATTTGATTTTCATTTAACTGTATGATTCTCGATT